TGCGATTGTTGAAATTGAATGTATCGGTAAAGTTATATTCGGAAAGAATAAACCAGTTTTATCAAGAAAGCACTTGTGTCGCTTAAGTTTTGTCGGAACAAAGTTACGGAAAGTTAATTAACAAACAGAGACGTAACAGTTATATTATTTTCACTTATTATGGAGATTAGAAAATTTTCCAAATATGGTCTCATTTCTTCTGATGTTATGAGCTGTAACTTACCTACACAGTATATGCTGACTAGTCTGTACAAAAGCTAATGTGATCCCAGATAATTTTGAGCTATTGAGCATTGTGGTTGCTCCTTTATACTGGTAGGAGGTTGCTGCCGAGGACGCGTCATTTCTTTTCACATCAATCGAGTTTCCATTGTATGTTCTTAAGGTTTTCAGTTACTGTGAAGGATAGAGTACACTGTATAGTGATGCAATTTCAACCACAGTTTTATAAACATATTAGCTTTGATTTTGATTAGCTTAGTGGGTAATCCACAAATATTTTTGTCTTACGATTCAGAAATTATGTTTTATAAAACTGCTCTTTTCAACTATGCCAGTAATAACAATGGTGATCATTGGATTGAAAGTTATTCTTTCATGTATCCTAAAATCCTCTAATCTTGATGAAGTGAAATATTTAGTAAAAAAAACACCAAAGTGAATGGAACAAACTATCAGAGCACTTGAAATAAAAGAAGGTAGTTTTGAAACATTCGTGTGTCTTCTTCAGTCTCAGATAGTTTTCTGCTACACACAATATTGTGTTATTTTATTATAGTAAAGTATAACTAAGTACATATTTATACATAGAATGAAACAGAAAAATGTATATTCAGAGCTTTGTTTTTGTACTTAATCATACCAGATCTTGTAATCAAGTTGTTATCACTGCTTATGATGGATGTACGTATGCTAGAACAAGTAGATATGGAGGGTACATGTACGTCACAATTAGAAACACTAACTGTAATAACACACACAGTCACTTATACACACATCAGCGAGACTTTCCTGTGTAAGAAAAGCAGGCACTGATGAACAGTATATTGTTACATTATTCATTTAATTGTTTACAATGCATAATTTTATGTGTGATAGAAAAAACAAACTAATTTTAATATTTTGTCATTATGGATTGTTTATGTTTAATTGTTTATCGTTAACCCATCAAACTATAAATTGTTAATAGTGGCTTGTATGTTAATAAATATAAATGCGGGTAGTACTACAAATACAATGTACTTGTAGCTCTGCATAGTTAAACCTAAGTCTCATAGTTACTATTAACTCTGAAGTATAATATTAACTAGCAGAGACCAGCAAAACATTTCTAGCCAAATTAGTATCTTTATCGTAAGTGTACTTCTTTAAATATAACATTTCTAGCACAATACAAACAAATTGTAAGCATAGACAACGAAACGTGTAAATCCACTTGTATATAGGCTGTACTTTATAAAACTTTAACTTATGTTAGGCCTAAGTTCTATAAAGAGATAAATTAACA